TTATACCGGGGTGGATTATCTCTTATTTGGCCTGAATGGAGACGTGGCTCTGAACAGGGTTTGGTTTTCAGGGTTTTTTGTCTTAAACGGGGTATGCACTACGCATTTATATTCATATTCAAGGCATTTGTGTGGAGTTTACTTACTGTATTCAACTAGTTCAATGCACCAAATATGACTTTGAAAAACAGTGGAAACGTTTTTCCGCACAAGGTCGAAACTATACCAACGCCAACCTTTCTATAACCGCTATTTCTTAAAAGGGAACGACTTTCTAAAAAGTACACCCTAACCCACAATACACATCAAACTCACTTCCTTCTAACTTTTTCTTTTTATTATTGTCATAAACTATTCACTCCAAAAATTTAGATACATCTGAATATTTACCATCCTCTTTGAACTGAGTATTATTACTTCTGTATATTACTCCTGTCCGAGGAGATGAGAATTATACGAGTAACGGCTTTCTAACGCTACGTAAAACGGAAGACTGTACAATTATCTGGGTTAGTAAACTCGAAGTGTTCAAGGACACGTTATAGCAAACTTCAGGCCATCTATTTGATATTTTCACTAATATTTCGCGCCCTCTCATACTATCAAGCTAGCCTTGGAAAAAATCTATTCGTCAGGAAGTACTCGCCACTGGAACTGAAGAAAGATATGAAGACGGAGCTTACATCTTATCTTCAGTGACCCGAAGTGAGACGTGGGTGGCGATGTATTGTTGAACTCTATCGACAGTTAACCAGACTGGTAATCTTTCTGAAGGGCAGACAGCATGTAAGCTGCCATAGTTACCATATCATAGACATTTACAGTCCGTCATGCAAGTTGGCATAAATACCGAACACCAAAAAGCACTCTAAGGTATGCCTTCCTGCAGATTTGAAGGTTTCATGTCTGTACAACGGCAACTTCGGTTGCTCCTTGGGTAGCCTCTTTAAAATTGTTCTGCAGCGACGAGATGAATTCGTGACCTTGTTTAGAAAAACATCTTACTTGCAGTCTGTAAGACCTCTAAGAGCCGTCCATCAATTATATACAGCAACTGTGTCACAGCAAACTACAACAACGGCGTCCATGGGTGCCTGCTTAAGGAACCAAGTAGCTACAGGCATAATTCCAGATCGGATGGAACGAAATGTCATATGCTGTGACTCTCGCGGAAACTGCTAGCACGAAGACTCCGTTATAGTATCATTGTTAATGTCAGAGTCATCCGTAATGGGCGTTTCCATGCTAAGCGCAATGTCCTCAATTGACTGAGCCAGTATTTCCAAGTACTCCTGTTGTAATCAAAATAAAATTCAATCAGCTATTTATTGTGAAAGATAGGGAATGATCAGGTTTTGAACAGGCTATTACATCTTCTGCATGGAGCGAGATGAAGAGGAATTTTAGGCTAAAAGCATTCGAATAGAGTGGCGAAGACTCAAATTGTGGCCTATCCCCGCTAGTATAATTCAAGAAAAGAAGGGAAACAATCAAGAATTGTGCCTAAAAAGGCCCAGTTAATTAAATATGTGCTGTGAGAATTCTATTGCAATAAGTCCGTGAACAGGGAACATTAGTCAAGGGTATACAGCAAAAACAAAGTTTTCATATAGGAAAAGAAAGGTTATGGTGTAAGTGTCATAGAGGCGAAAAATATGTTTGAATATAGTGGTGTCGTGAAAGCGGCAGACAACAGTCATCCAGGGGCAGACACTTACTTTACTGGCCAGGGATGACAGCATGGCGTCAAATGTTTTTTTTAGGGTTGTAAACGAGGCTCTGTTGCTGCTGTTTTCATCCCAGCAATTCAGCATAACATCGTATCTGTTTAAAAGACAAAAAATGACAAGTATTCTAAATTGAATTGTTATTGTTTTTTGAAAGCTGGTCCACTTTCCTGTGGTTTTCACATGTAAAATGACGAAGATTTGCGAAGACTACGCACAAACTTTGGGTGGCCATACTTACATTTCATTTGGACAATTCTGTGGTTTCTGCATTCTGTATCCAGACTTTAACAGGTCAAACAGTTTTTCTACTGGTATTCCTGGGTATGGGGAACCACCTGAAACAGTGAGTTCAGTACATGTCCAGTCAGTCCTAGTCAAACTCTCCTCGCAAGGAGAAGTATAGATGATTATTTTTTCCCGCTAACGACAGCACCAGTCACGAAAAAAAATGAATGGCGTATTCGTGGAGGAGCCACTTTAGTCGACAATTTCTCGGAAATACCTTCTACTTGTTTTATTTCAGATGAGGACCTAGTTTTACTGTTGACTACTGAGGTATTTACTATTCTAAGGAAATGCGATGCTTTTAGAGGTAACCGGTCAAAGAAAACTCAGAGTATAGTGATACAATACAAAGGAACGTAAGCGACTTAGTCGTAAATTGATGGTCTTACCTAGAGTGAAAATTTCCCAGAGAAGTATTCCAAATGCCCATACGTCACTCTGCGTCGTGTACACTCTGTCAAACAATGCTTCAATAGCCAGCCATTTTATCGGTAGTCGACCCTGAAAGCAGAAAACAGCTTATAGTTGAGGACACCGCAGAATATTTGCATGCCATGGGTAAATTAGATCAAAGGGGGAACTGTCCGGTCTGTGTGGTGCGAAGGTGAAGCACATTGTCAGTGACGAAAAAGGCTTTTAGCTACCAGAGCTCACGCTTATCAGAGGCAACAGATTTACCAGAAAGGAAGAATCAGCGATCTTTCTATAGCGTGAGAGGCGTTGACAATCAAATCTTTCAATTTATGTTGTGATTATCAGCAAAATGGGTCTCGAATAGGGTTCTAACACCAATTCAAACACTGCTTTGACTGTCGTCATTGCTTTTTGGTTTTTTCGAACGCAAATAATCACCAACATCACCACCACCACCACCATCATCATCACTAAGTGGAAAAGGTATAAAGCAAACTTACGTCTGTGGTCTTTCTGTAGTACTCCAGGTCCCTAATATTCCGTGCCAGACCGAAGTCAGCGATTTTCATGACATAGTCTTCACCGACAAGGACATTTCTAGCAGCAAGATCACGATGGACACACTGTATTTGGAAAACAACAGAGAGAAAGTTTTTTGTTATAAAATTAAAGCCCTTAGCAAGTATTCTGTCAAGCTTAACCACTTCTCAGAAGAAGGCCTCAGGTGCATGGAACACCAATATATCAGCCGTGGCGTCGAGTAAAAACGCCCTATATCAATGATGTCCAGTTGATTAACAGACACACTTGCCAGGTTTTCCTGCGGCACACCAAAAGCTTTCAATAATTGTCGCCTTTTGCTCTCGTAATATGAGGAGCAAACGTTCATAGGTTGCGCTCTATTGATCGCCTAATCCTTATTTAGAACTCGCATACTGTTTTTATTTTTATATATATTATATTGTTCTGTTACAAAAAATGTCTACTTTACCTTTCTTGTTCCCAGATACTCCATCCCCCTTGCTATTTGGAACGCGAAAGATACAAAGTCCCTGACAGTAAGAGAAGGACCTGAGGAATTCGGCCTTGTGTGTTGATACTCAGAAGGTCTTCTTTCCCTCAAGAACTGCCGGAGATTGCCATGGGGTGCAAACTCCACTATGACAAACAGAGGACCTGAAATACCCGAGTTTAAAACTTGTGAGTACAAGTATCCTTTGTAAGTTTAAAATCTTTTTGGCATAATCAGGAAAGCAATCAGAAATCTGAGACATCCCTCCCGCAAAAACGGTGAGGTGAGGAGCGAGGAGCGGCGGCCTTATTCGCAGGCAATCGTTGCTGTCTTTGTGTAACCTTTCTATGTGTCACCGCGTACATGACAGTCAAAAAAGAATACTGGAGGGTGTTTTTATTGTTGTTTTATGGAGAGTTTGGTACAGTGACCAACATTTCATTGAGAGAAGCTCATTCTTGTTAGATTTTCCACTAATGGACCCCGTTGAGGCCCTCATCTGGCTTGTCCACTAATGTTTTCCCGCCGAATTTTGCAGGCCCGAGCGAACAAGCGCGAAGCGAGGAAAAAAAAAAGAAAAAACTATAATGAAACGCGTGTTTGATCTTGTCTACAGCGAAAACATAGGGTCTGTGAACAGGCTATTGCTCATCCATTGGCACATTAAGTAGGCCGAGGGGGCCGCCTAGGCAAAGAGGGCACGAACAAGCGCGACGCGAGAAAAAAATAAAATAAAATGAAACGCGTGTTTGATCTTGTCTACAGCGAAAAAAAAGAGGGTCTGTGAACAGGCTATTGTTCATCCAATGACACATTAAGTAGGCCGAGGGGGCCGCCGAAGCAAAGAGGGCAGAGTGCTTGAACGGCCACGAAATGCGTAAGTTTATCCGGCTTCAGTATTGCTTACCATTTTGTGTGCATGCACCAATTAAATTGATGATGTTCTTGTGTTTACCAATATCCTTCATGGTGTCCATCTCAGACAGAAGGTCAGCTAGTTCGTTCTCCGTTGCATCAGCTAGAAGAGATCACATTTTATCCACAGTTATTGTATTGCACAGTGACCCTCTCACAAATAATTGAAGATTCTCCATACGTGCATTTTAATCTATCAAGTGATGATGTTGTGAGTCTAACACGGTTTCCTCAAGTTTAGCAAATTCTTTGTAATCATTAGTCTTATCAGCCGACCTCGGTTAGAGGAAAACGTTGCGAATGAGTTTTAATAAATGAATGGGTTAAAGAATAATTATACCATGATTTAGAGGTAGCATATCTAAATGCTGGTTCTTCGTCTACCATTCCTGGTCGAATTAGAATTTGGAAATGTTGGTTTTTTGAAGAGACGGGGAAACCGGAGTTCCCGGAGAAAAACCTCTCGGAGCAAAGAGGAGAGCCTAAAACAAACTCAGCCCACTTTTGGCTTCGGCGCCGGGATTTGATCCCGGGCCACCTTGGTTAGAGGCGAGTAGTCTAACCACTGCACCACCCTTGCTTTTGTTTGAATAAACTTAACCTGACGAAAGAGAGATCGCACTGAAGGGGTGTAGTGGCTGTAGTGTCTCTTACCTTTAAGCATTTTTACAGCAACAGAGCATCTAGCAGGCAATTCGGGCAATCCGACAGCAACAGCTCGAACGACCAAACCGAATGCTCCTTCACCAAGCTGTTCCTTTAGAGTAAGTTGAGACCTTTCAATTTCCCACTCCTCGTCACAAGGCAGCTCGTAAAGCTCTGTGTTAAATAAGGGTGAATAGAAGTCAACGTAATTATACCATTTGATTAAAAAAGTGACTTCATAAAAGTCTCCCATTAATTGGTAACCCAGTAGTTTTTATTATGACCCACAAAAAGGACAGAATCAAATAAATGAAAAGAACCATTTCGCTATTTTACAAGTGTGGCGAGGAGCTGAATTCGTCTGAATTCGGGAGTACCGAGACAAATCTCGTTTAGTAACGTCTGCCGAGCACCGCGGATATCCTTGCTCTGGGTTCCCAACGAACTCAACGAGATACTAGAAATGCGTTTCGAATTTACCCGGCTTCAATCTGACTGGCAAATGGACATTTTCACTTTTAACACGTCAACCTTAGCGCGTACTCAAATCTTTCTATTGGGGACCAGAACAAGGTTTTCGGCGCAGACGGACTTAACCAAAAAGCGCTTTATTTGAGTGTCAATGTATTAAGCACGAAAGTACTAATTGGAGACATTATTTTTACATCTCCTACTGGGAACGGGACCGCCATTTTACGTGGTAATCCGAGCCAACCGAAGCTCTACCCGTTTGCTGGAAAACGCATTTCTCAGTTATTTTAATACCCTGCATTGAATCCGCGACCTCCCGGTCAAGCGCTCTACCGCCTGGCTAATCCTGCCGCGGTTAGAATTTTAGTTCCGTCTGTGGTGCAGGGTAGAACGCTATACATAGGAGGCCTTTTGAATTCGGCCCCTGGATCTCACGGTAACACAATGTCAAGGATTTAATAGGCTTAGCAGCCACGCGTCTACCGGTGGTCCTTACGAAACGAAATAAGCGTCGGCGACCCTTTTCTTTACCTTCAGCGATGTTTGAGTCAATTCTCGATGATACACCTGAGGAAAAGCGCGATCTGCAGCTACCATGTCTGTATTTTAATAAAGGTGTGGTAGAGTCAGAAGAACTTAATCGCCTCCTTGGAATTGGATAGGGAAACGTTCTTTGAGTTCCATCGGTTTGATTTTGAGTATTAGGTTCCGATGCAATAAGGGTTGATGTTGCAGGAATAATATCCATTTGTTGTAGAGTGACAATGTTATCTTGGGGTTTGGAATCTTGAGCTAACTTTCCCTTTACTATACGGCGATAGACAATGAATACAGTGATTCCAGTTACAAAAGCCAAAAACACAACTACACTGAGTACAATAATAACGACGTTGTCTCCGGGCTCATCTTTCTTTTTTATCTGAGCAGGTTGGTGCACGCCAGAAATTGTGGTCGAGTTATTTCCATGAGTAGGATTTAGAGCTCCACCTAAAAGAGGCCAAAAGAAAATAGTTAGCCAAATTGCTATGTATATATTTTTTTTTCAACGTTTCGTTTGAGAGCTTTCAACCTGGATATCATTATCCTGTACACAGACGTTGTTTTATTTTTCTTTTCGCTCTTTTCGAGAACTTCGGCGAGCGCGCGAGAAAGAAAAATAAAGAACGTCCGTCTTTTTTCTTCTTCCCCCACCACTACCCCCTTGGGCTGGCGGTCACACGCGCTCGACGGACTTTGAAGAGAAAATAGAGGGTCTTCGAACAGGCTAGGATATCACGTAATTATTCCAGGTGTAACTTGCACACAAAATATGACAGTACTTTACACAGACCACGTACACAGACGCCTCTGGCGCAAGGGACAAAAGTGCATAGCGTTTTAAAGAGAAGACGCGCTCTCTTTGATGTTCCCCATGTAATTTTGAGACTCAGAAGTTATAACTTGAGCCATACTAGTTGCCTTGATGAAATGCGTATACAATTGTTTTATAATCGATAGCAACACCATGTTTTAAAAAGTAATTGCAGGCGACCGGAGGAGCCTGCATTCCTAATCTCCAGGTTGTAAAGATTACACATGCATGTATATAGCCGGCATTAAGAGTGAACAGAATGCATAGAAGGCAATCTGATCACGCGCGTTATGGCCTTCCATCACGCGAAGGTTTAATACGCAAAACACAGAGTTGGAGCAAGAGCGTTTGAACCGATCTCGCCTGCACTCACTAACCTTTGGTTGGTTTTTACTAATTCAAAACTAACTTCTTACCTGGATTGGTGGGTTTCACGTATCTGCTGAGGAAAGCGCTGTTATGTTCCGCTCCAATGTGATTACTCGCATAACAAGTGTAGAGTCCAAAATCGTCCTCAGTTACATTGATAATTGTCACCTCAGAACCATATCCTTCCCCCAATTGCAAAGAATGATAATATCGTGGATCTATAAGTTTAAATGACCCATTGTTGTCTAAGCTGTCTTCTATCTTCGACACAAATGTGACAGATTTGTCCCATTTTAGCCACCTAAAATCTGGAAGCGTCCCACTGACCACGACATGGCATTTCATTGTAGCATTTTTCCCTATCTCTACAGTCGTGTTCTCTGGAAGGTCCTTTCGCAGGATAGGTCGAGTTCGTGGTTTAGCTGTTAAAAAACGATCAAGAAAATTCGTTAAAATATACATAAGTCTTTTAAAACAGCTGAGTTGGTCGCGTGAAATAGTCGTATTGTAACAGACAACTTAGACGGGAAATAGCCAAATTGGCCCAGAGAAACAAGTAAGATTATTTTACATAGTACTGTACGACCATTTTGTAATTCGTTTTTAAGGAATAACCGTGAACCTTTGCCTCGTCACGACTTTAACACCCGGTTAAACGCCAGGCCTCAACTGTCCTTCAACTTTTATGGAGTTAGTTTGAGAGATGTAGAGGCCATGCATAGTCAAATGGTTCGCATCTTTCCAATAAGATAAGGCGTTCGCTGAAAACTGCACTGTCTTAGTGATCGAGAGAACCTGTCAAACGGCATCAATGTTTGGGGTTTAGGCCCCCCCCCCGGGGGGGGGTTCCCATATAAAAGTGTCGGGGGTGTTTGTCGTCTCGCTTGGGGGTGTACATTGCAGGTTTTGGTCTCACTTCGGATGCTTGGGACAGAAAGTCACCATATTTGCCAATTCATGTATCGCTTAGGGCTGAGCATAAAAAAGTTAAAAAAATCTCCTTGCCACTGAACGCACAGAAATCTAACGTTTAAAAAAGAACATGACATCGCTGGCACGACACGACACACTCTAGCCCTCATGTCTGTTTGTGAATTGCATCCTTTAGGGGTCGGTTTACGCTTGAGCCACACCCATATTGGTCTCTCTTAGGGTTTAATTTTAATTTTCCAACGAACATCCCGGTCACTTTCATATGGAAGTCCCCCCGGGAGGTTAGTCGCCTTTTTCCTCAGTTGGATGAGCACCGGTTTAGTTTGGGTAAGGTCACGGGTTAGAACCCCGGCAAGACCCCCAGTAAGGGTCTAGTAGGATCGGAGAGGCTGTGGTCAGAAGATCACGTCGCTGGTCGGTGACGATAACGACAAGCCGTTGGCCTTGTCTCTTTCATCAACCCTTTACAATTTGAAGGAGACGTAAAATACCTAGACTTTTGTTCGAAAAGAGAAGAGGACTTAGGGGTATTTCTTCCATTTTCTCTACAGCTGTCTCTGTTGTGTTGGCCTGGTCATGGGTTGATTGCTATAAGACCCTTTATACCGAGAACAACCTTTTCTCATTGCGTTCATAGTTGTTAATATGGGGTATCAAGTTTGTTATAAATGGACATTAAACTCTCAAAAATCAGCTGTCAAACTACGAGTCTACAGTGGAACCGAAGATATGCAGCCGTGTTCTTACCTAGAACTTTGACCATGTAAGTATGATTTATGCTGCCATATCGATTAGATACTATACAAGTGTATTGTCCATCATCGTTAGGTACCAAATCTTTCAGTTTAAGGTACCAAATTGAGGTGTTAAGGTATGGGTCCAGTCGTCTCCCTTTCAAAAGCTCTCCGTCTTTTAGCCAGGTGTATTTAAGTGGTGGTGTCCCCTTCGCGTTACATTTAAGCTTAACTGAGTGAGACGCTGGCGAGGCTTTGAATGCTCTTTTTAAGGTATCTGGGTCGGAGAAGACAGGCTTTCCTAAAAAAAAAGAAGGTCAATTAAAGCAAACACGAATAGAAGTCGAGCCCCCACTTCTTGGTTTATGGCAGAGTCTAACCTTGGGGTGAAACCTGTTGTCCCCCCGCCCAATACATTAGCGCTCCATCTCTCCGTTCTTTACAGGAAAATGGAAAAATTTAAACAGTTTATACAATGCTAATATTCAACCGTCACCTTTGTGCGTATATCTTTGTGTCGTCACACAACACTCTTCCCATTAGAGGGAATTTTGAAACAATTACAGGCTCCTGTGAGCCAGCTCATGGATGAATTGGAAAAGTGTAGAAAAGACAGTTCAGTAGTCAACAAGACCACCAAAATGGGGGAACATTCGTCCGCCGCGAAAGTGACAATTTGCTAGTCGAGGCTGTATAATAACTTCTAACAGCGAACAAAAATAGGCAAGTGAGCCTTATGAAACAAGAAAAGAGAAGGTGACTTGAAATTCCAAAAATTATCGTCAATCTGCGCTTCTCAAACGTGACAGGGTCAACTTTTGGAGTTTTAAAATGCTGTCATATAGCAGTAATTTTCGCACTGTCAGCCTCAGGTTTGTCAGTATAGTACTTTTGCGAGTTGCCGACGTAAAATAAGGACCTTGACCTTTACCTATGCCTTTATTAGTTTCTTGATCCTTCCTACGGTACTATGATCAGATAAGGAGAAATTGTTTAACAATCAAAACCTCTTTGGCTAATCATTCTACTCATATCATGACGGACGTACGTCACTATGGGTTTAAAGGGGTGGTCATTACTCAATCAGTGGGTTTCGTAGATAAAAATTATTGTGTAAATGATACAAAATACTAACAGGGTTACAGCTTCTTAATCTACCTTGTGATTGCACTGGAGTGGTTGATGGTTGCGAAGTAGTATTAGCGGGGGTCGTTGAAGTACCTACAAAAAATATTAAGTAAACGTGAATACACCAGGGAATCATGTTTATAAAATGCAGTTCAAGCAACATTACTGGATGTTCCACCTCTACCTTCTAATAGTGTTGGTTCATTCATCACAAATAACATAGGGTGTCTCTTGGGTAAAACAAAGATTTTTTTGCACAACCGTCAGTAGAAGTACGGCAGTTTTTCCACTCAAGCAATGGTTGAAGTGAAATCTTACTTTGTCTTATATTTTTGTCTGTGTTTGCCCGGCGTGTTCAATTGATAAAATCGATAGTACTGATATAATATCGTTTGAAGGATTTGTGGTGGGTCTGTACTCAGTAATCGATAATTACGATTTTAGTCGACAAATATCGTAAGAAGTACACGAGAGTACACAAGAAGTATAGAAAATTTGTTACAATCTTAAGTTCAGGAAATAAGCTTTCACAGTATAAGTAGAACGGTTATGATCAACTCTCTGTGCCATGGCTTTCTCATTTATTTTGTTTTAAAATGCTAATTACAGTTGAGAAATCACTTGTGAATGACAAGATCACAACGTTCTATCAAACAAGTATCACTTAAGAGTAAAGTCAAACCCAGCAGACAACGAAAAAACTTTGAAAACTATTAGGCGAAAAGGTTTTGAGAAACCACAATTGTAATCCGTTTTAATCTTCTACAAGTTTATCCATTCGTGCCGCCTTTATTTTCGGTGTTATTTATATCTTTTTAATGTTGAGCTGTTATGTTTTTCGCTGTGGCTGCTGAGCATAAAGCCACAGCGTGTGTTTTTTGTTTCACTCGGTAAATCGAGCCCTCGCGTACTCGAACCTCGAACCTCGCGCTATTAAACTTGAACCAAAGTCGATTTCCCCTGGATTTCCTTCGTACATTTTCTGTAATATAACCGTCGGTAACTCGAACGAACCCTTGATAACTCGACCCTCCCGCTAACTCGAAGAAAGGCTTTGCTTATTTCCTTATTCCCGGTTACTTGCTTCGAAATCCCGATAGTACTTAATGTACTAAAGATCAAGATGATGTGGAAAAGTGAACAATACTGTCAACAGAGACACTTAGCCACCCATTCTATTTCTTAGCCAACTCTACGCCATAACAATCACAATTGTATTCAGTTTTCACCCCCTACCTGGACGAACATCTAGTACGAGTTGTCGTGTTGCATTCGCCACCTGCCCGAATGGATTTTCCGCAATGCAAGTGTAGTTTCCCTGGTCTTCAAGTTTAACGTTCCTTATCTTTAAGACACTGGCGTTTCCATTGGTATTATTCCTTAGAGTTAGTCTTTCATTTTCTTGCGGCAACGGTTGATCATCTTTCAGCCAAGATATGGTCGGACGTGGGCAATCATTGACTCTACATCTTAATCGAACGACTGTTCCTTCTTTGACATTTTTAAGAGGTTTTATGCTGACTTGACAGTGAGGTGGATAGTTGTCTGCAAAGGTAAACACAGTTTTTACAAAGTTATTAATTTCACTTGAGTTCGGCACATACACCCCAAATGTTTCGAACGGGTATAAAATTTCTACAGATTTTCCTTTTCTTGATATTTTTATCAGACTGTTGGTTTATTTTCTGGCCTTTTCCTAATGAACTCTGTGTACCAAAGAAGTGTTTCTGTATCCACGACTCAGCACTTACGACTCGCACCAAAAACACTGATGTGTGCAGATGAGTGAATTACAAAAACAACATATTTTTTAACTTGCATCAGATAATGCTTCTCAGCTGAACTCATTCGTTGATTGCGCCGGAAATTCTCTTCATTTACTTCCAGACACTGAAACGCGCGCTTTTCTAATGTGTACAGTCTGCCTGCTCAGAAAAACAAATACTTGTCGCTGCTGCATCTACTTCTCTTTTCCCCCTCTTGATAGTAAGAAAGTGAATAGAAAAGGAAGTAAAATAGAAAGTACATACTCGAGTTTATCGCACAAAAAGTTGATAACATGATGGGTGATTTAACTTATTGACATGACAAAACATTTGAACGACCATTCGAGATAATGCATTTGCGCTATAACTATTTACGCATCAGATATAAAACTTACAGCAACTGATGTGCAGGGTCTAAAAGAAGTCCCCATTTTCATTTCGCCTTTTGAGGAAGAGCAATCCGCTGAGTTTTGTGGATTGATCCACCTTCGCAAGGCAATAGACGCATGTCTGCTTACAAACATTCTCCAGATACCGTTTCAAGGTGGATTTTACCTGCATCCAACGACCTTTTTCTGCGGTAAAATAACTCTTTGAAGGAGCAAATATTGCCTAGAACATTCTGAGGCTCGAGAACGGTTAGAAATTTCTGGATAACCGTTCCATTTGTCTACTAAGAGTATTGGAATATTTTCTTTTAAGATCTACCAACTGCCCTCCCATTTTTGGAGGTTTTGTTTCTCGCATTTAACTACCAAGATACTGTGATTAGTGTTTAAAAAAAAAAGGCCTCCAGAAAATTTCGGTAAAAAGACAGTACATCCCCTGGAATTTTCTAAGAAAAGTGTGGCTACTAAATGTCCTCTAACTTTTGACCAGACCCGTCAGAGTAGCTAAAAGTTTAGTTCAGATGAGAGAAAAAGTTACCCAAAACGTTTTTAGGGCAGCTCCAAATTAACCAAAGAGGTTTGTAAAGCGTAGAGAAAACTATATGAGACACTTCTGACGAGTTGGAAACATTCGGTCGTCCGGTGCTCATACTCTCCTACTATTTGCGCTTCTTTGTAGTGGCACGTTAACTGTAGACAAATCGTGCAAATCGTTTCCTGACTATCCTGTGATGTGGTATTTTGGGAAACGATTTGATCTACACTTCTGCGATTCAGCAAACAGTTGTTTTAATTCAATGCAATAGCAATTAATTTAATGCAAAAGGGCGAACAACTGCGTTTTGCTGAAAGTTATAATTGTGCTAACATAATGGGGAAAAAGCGAAATGGAGAAAGACGCGTCACAGAACCGAGATAAACCTCCACGCACATATAAATTGCCCGTCACACGTTTATGCTAAGAATTAACTATAATTATTACAGATTTTTTGCCCTTGAGCGACCATCTGTTCCCTTCTGTAAATTATGCAGCTCTATTATTGATTTTTGACCTTGCCAAATATGCCGATTCTGTGTTTGCCCGGCGTGTTCAATTGATAAAATCGATAGTACTGATATAATATCGTTTGAAGGATTTGTGGTGGGTCTGTACTCAGTAATCGATAATTACGATTTTAGTCGACAAATATCGTAAGAAGTAGACGAGAGTACACAAGAAGTATAGAAAATTTGTTACAATCTTAAGTTCAGGAAATAAGCTTTCACAGTATAAGTCGAACGGTTATGATCAACTCTCTGTGCCATGGCTTTCTCATTTATTTTGTTTTAAAATGCTAATTACGGTTGAGAAATCACTTGTGAATGACAAGATCACAGCGTTCTATCGAACAAGTATCACTTAAGAGTAAAGTCAAACCCAGCAGACAACAAAAAAACTTTGAAAACTATTAGGCGAAAAGGTTTTGAAAAACCACAATTGTAATCCGTTTTAATCTTCGACAAGTTTATCCATTCGTGCCGCGTTTATTTTCGGTGTTATTTATATCTTTTTAATGTTGAGCTGTTATGTTTTTCGCTGTGGCTGCTGAGCATATAGCCACAGCGTGTGTTTTTTGTTTCACTCGGTAAATCGAACCCTCGCGTACTCGAACCTCGAACCTCGCGCTATTAAACTTAAACCAAAATCGATTTCCCCTGGATTTCCTTCGTACATTTTCTGTAATTTAACCCTCGGTAACTCGAACGAACCCTTGATAACTCGACCCTCCCGCTAACTCAAAGAAAGGCTTTGCTTATTTCCTTATTCCCGGTTACTTGCTTCGAAATCCCGATAGTACTTAATGTTTTTTAACTCCTGATCACAAGATCAAGATGATGTGGAAAAGTGAACAATACTGTCAACAGAGACACTTAGCCACCCATTCTATTTCTTAGCCAACTCTACGCCATAACAATCACAATTGTATTCAGTTTCCACCCCCTACCTGGACGAACATCTAGTACGAGTTGTCGTGTTGCATTCGCCATCTGCCCGAATGGATTTTCCGCAATGCAAGTGTAGTTTCCCTGGTCTTCAAGTTTAACGTTCCTTATCTTTAAGACACTGGCGTTTCCATTGGTATTATTCCTTAGAGTTAGTCTTTCATTTTCTTGCGATAACGGTTGATCATCTTTCAGCCAAGATATGGTCGGACGTGAGCAATCACTGACTCTACATCTTAATCGAACGACTGTTCCTTCTTTGACATTTTTAAGAGGTTTTATGCTAGAACTGACTTGACAGTGAGGTGGATATTTGTCTGCAAAGGTAAATACAGTTTTTTACAAAGTTATTAATTTCACTTGAGTTCGGCACATACACCCTAAATGTTTCGAACGGGTATAAAATTTCTACAGATTTTCCTTTTCTTGATATTTTAATCCGACTGTTGGTTTAATTTCTGGCCTTTTCCTAATGAACTCTGTGTACCAAAGAAGTGTTTCTGTATCCACGACTCAGCACTTACGACTCGCGCCAAAAACACTGATGTGTGCAGATGAGTGAATTACAAAAATAACATATTTTTTAACTTGCATCAGATAATGCTTCTCAGCTGAACTCATTCGTTGATTGCGCCGGAAATTCTCTTCATTTACTTCCAGAGACTGAAACGCGCGCTTTTCTAATGTGTACAGTCTGCCTTCTCAGAAAAACAAATACTTGTCGCTGCTGCATCTACTTTTCTTTTTCCCCTCTTGATAGTAAGAAAGTGAATAGAAAAGGAAGTAAAATGAAAAGTACATACTCGAGTTTATCGCACAAAAAGCTGATAACGTGATGGGTGATTTAACTTATTGACATGACAAAACATTTGAACGACCATTCGAGATAATGAATTTGCGCTATAACTATTTACGCATCAGATGTAAAACTTACAGCAACTGATGTGCAAGGTCTAAAAGAAGACCCCATTTTCATTTCGCCTTTTGAGGAAGAGCAATCCGCTGAGTTGTGTGGATTGATCCACCTTCGCAAGGCAATAGACGCATGTCTGCTTACAAACATTCTCCAGATACCGTTTCAGGGTGGATTTTACCTGCATCCAACGACCTTTTTCTGCGGTAAAAAACTCTCTGAAGGAGCAAATATTGCCTAAAACTTTCTGAGGCTCGAGAACGGCTAGAAATTTCTGGATAAGCGTTCCATTTGTCTACTAAGAATAATGGGATATTTTCTTTTAAGATCTACCAACTGCCCTCCCATTTTTGGAGGTTTTGTTTCTCGCATTTTACTACCAAGATACTGCGATTAGTGTTTTAAAAAAAAGGCCTCCAGAAAATTTCGGAAGAAAAGTACGGCTACTCAATGTCCTCTAACTTTTGACCGGAACCGTCAGAGTAGCTAAAAGTTCAGTTCAGATGAGAGAAAAAGTCACTTAAAACTTTCGTGGTGACCAAAGTTCCTCTAAGACATCCGAATGAGATATACGGTTATTAGGGCAGCTCCAAATTAACCAAAGAGGTTTGTAAAGCGTAGAGAAAACTATATGAGACACCTCTGACGTGTTGGAAACATTCGGTCGTCGGGTGCTCATACTCTCCTACTATTTGCACTTCTTTGTAGTGGCACGTTAACTGTAGACAAATCGTGCAAATCGTTTCCTGACTATCCTGTGATGTGGTATTTGGGGAAACGATTTGATCTACACTACTGCGATTCAGCAAACAGTTGTTTTAATTCAATGCAATTGCAATTAACTTAATGCAAAAGGGCGAACAACTGCGTTTTGCTGAAAGTTATAATTGTGCTAACATAATGGAGAAAAAGAGAAATGGAGTAAGACGCATCACAGAACCGAGATAAACCTCCACGCACATATAAATGCACCGTCACACGTTTATGCTAAGAATTAACTATAATTATTACAGATTTTTTGCCCTTGAGCGACCATCTGTTCCCTTCTGTAAATTATGCAGCTCTATTATTGATTTTTGACCTTGCCAAATATGCCGAGAAATTAGTAAACAGAACACTGACCCAGAACCCCTTTCAAAAAGCTTTCGGGCGTGATCTCGTCCCCCATCTGTGGTTGGCTTGAGGTGCTTCGAACACGAAAACAAGCAAAATACGCTGCGTCCACTGCTGACACAAGCGGTGGACCTTTTATAGTACCGAAAAGACAGCGGTACAACATTTGACTGGTTAGGGCGGTATTTCATACCACAGGCCATACACACTGGCACACATGGGAGCTTTAAAATAGTTTTAAGTCTTCCTGCATTGAGAATGGCAAGGCGAACTGACCACAATAACACGATTTAAAAGCTTGTGAGTTATATTGCTGTACATTTTTTTCTAGTTTGGTCAGAGCTGTTGAATCTCTTTCCGGTGGCAACAACAAATACTTCATTTACTCCTTTTACGTCACAACGCTGAAGTTTTTTCAGAATTCAAACCGTTCTTTCTGCATTAACGTGGAAGAGAGAGAGCGTACTTTTACAGAATATAATTATAGTGTTTTTCGACTTCCCCTGATTTAAGATATTGGCACCTCAGTGATGAAAACAACATCTTTCGATTATCACGAAAAGAACTAATCAACCGGACATTTAAGTTCCCCTCCTAATAACATTGAACGTGTTAAATTAATGAAACGTTTGCATGGAAACGAATACAAAACCAAATTCAATGTTGCCTGCTTACTTTCTGAATGAGTACTAAACGCGAGCGTGTATTAAACAGCTGGATAGCCCAGAAATATTACAAGACACAATGCTCAGAATACAATGGAAATGGTAAACAGAACCTTTGAGTAACTCCTGCCACTTATTTACTTTCAACTTCGTCGCGATTTAAGAGCTGAGCAAATATTTGAGTCTATATGTTGAACTTATTGATGAGATCTCCTTTGTCCTTGGTGATCAGAAACAAGTTTTCTTGCATGATTCAAATGAATAGAGTCATTGATCTTGGCATATTACTTCGAATTGATTTTCAAAGCGTGACGAGATCTCGTACATGGCAGTGCATTGAAAAAGCGGAAACCGATTGCCTTTTGTGATGATTTGAACAAAGATCGATCTTTGTATAACAGTTTAAACAAGGAATACAAGGTCTAGAAACCCATAGACCCTAGAATATCCTTGTGGCAAAATAACAAATATGAAGCTATCCACTTACCCGGTGAAGCAGACTGCGCATTAACAATAAGGCTGAGAAACAATATCCACCGCTCTGCTTTCTGCATACTCACGTCCACCAAGAGATTTCCGTCCGAACTAACATCCCGGTCGACGCTGAATTTCGGCCATCGGTCGAGCAATAACTACGGAAAGAAGTGATTTGCTTGGTGAGTGGATGGAGTCTTCTCTGTCGTCTCAAGTTGCCTGGTTTGTTTTAGAACTGCGCAGACAACATTCATTTGCTTGTTGTCAATCTAATGGCACAATATTGACGTAGTGCCAAAGAGTAAATTCTTTAGCGTCGTGACAGTCTTTGTCGCGGATTTCATGTGACTGATAGCCTTGATAAGTTGGACGGTGAACTCTCGCCTGTTAGTATCAGATTGTTAAGCACTGTCAAACAACGACACGAATTCTTGTTCAAGGGAATTTTGATTGGCTTATTTCTTCGCCGGACTCGGTGTGTTGGCTTTGCTTGAATTCTGTGAAAAATTTCAATCGTTTGAAGTGACAATTTGCCCCGCCTCTATCAATCATGTCACAAATACAATAGAAGTCAAGCACACACGTTTCCGCTTGATTGAGGTTTTAGTACCCTCCAGGCAATTTATTGTTCGATTTCTAATTAGTTCATTTTCTAAGGGGCACATCAGCAGTGTCGTTCCAAAATTCACTTATTTTCTTTTAGTGAAAGTGGCGTAGACGGACTTGACAAGGCGTTTCCTGACCAAGGAGCTATAAATTTCGCATGGGACCAACTAAACTTTTCCTTGTCTCAAAGAGTTTTCCTCGCGTAAATGTTCGGTTTATTTGGTTAACAAAACTTCCACTCAATTTCCTGCCGTATAGGTTTTTTCGTCAACATTCCACCATCCTCTAGGGGCTACATGTATCCCTCCAAATCGTCAATACGTGTCACAACAAACTGTTTACTCAGAGCAAACAATTACGCCTGTATTTACTTACACACGAGTACAACCAGTTGGACAATGGCATACACTAGGGGCTAATAAGATACGCCGTTTCTACCTACGGATACGGGTAGGCGAACATGTTTGCCTCGCAGTTACACAAAAGGCGACTATGATCTCCCAGTGGCCTACCCGTTTCACCGGGGTACGAGGCCATCTACCCGTATTCACGGGTAATTTACCCACACCTCTGCACACAAACGGTGTATCTTAAGGTCTCTACTGTGAGCAGTAAGTTTCAACTACGTGTAGTGTATCTACTGTAAACGTAAGAAACCAGCTTACCTGGAAAGGAACGCAGTTGTCTCACACTCTTGACGGCTGTTTTGTTTCCAAGTGCTGTAGGAAATCAATCAAGTATTATGTCAACATGAATAGGTTTATATTTTTGTTCCTTGGTTGCGGTTTTTACACCAGCTGTAACACTGTGAAATAAAGACGAATGTTTGCTGCCAGAGGTGCCAGTTATTTTAAATTAACAGAGTCACAGGCGGAATGTTTTAGGATCGGCAGATCTGTCCTAATGCCCTTTTCAAGTTTTTCGGATATCAATTTCATCTATAATTTATTTGATGTAGCATTTTTCGTGTTACCTTGTTACCTTAAAAGCTTAATTTGCTTCCTGCTGTCTTGTTAAACTTAATGTGAACCTGGTCAGGTGTCCGAGGATTGCTTTGGTTGTTTTGGTGTGTTTAACTTCCCATGCAGGAGGGCCGCGAATTAAAACTTGAACCCTTGCGCGCGATAAAAATAGTTCAGCATGAATTCCTCAGCGGAGAAACACGAGATGTAAACGTAAACACCCTTTTTTGTGGGTTCTTATCGCTCTCATCTTTCACCATTTCAGCTTTGTATTTTTTTAAATAATGTTTTGTCACCTTGACTCGTGCCCAGATATGCCCTGATCGCATCAAGTGGTCTAATTTTCACGAAATAGCAGCAATGGTGTTTTGTCGTAACTGACTACCTGGTTTCCAGGAGCTAAACCTTAATCACGCTGTGAGATATTCTTTAACCTTGTTACGCTACTTACGGCGAGGCCGAGATCGTCACTTAGTGTTTTTTTATCCAAATTGTCACTCCACCATACAGGAGGGGTGGCCGCCATAAATATTGCAACATTTGTGAAACGTATGAATGGAATCCACATATTGGGTAAATTAAAAACTGAAGGTCGCTGACATTGACAGCTATTGATATACATTCTTTTTTTTTATAAGAATGTTGTTTTCCAGGGCCAGGCTGAATATTCTTACTTTTCCGCCGATTTTAGGCTCCTGTAAATATTCTTGTATTATTCTTAATAATAGCTCATGACATTTTCGAATAAGAATATATTAAGGTATCAATTATAGTTTTGTTAAATATAGTTAGCTAGTTTTGCTGTTTAAAGAAAGGAATAAATTGAAAAGGTATATTTGTATTGTATTTACAGATTTTCACCACAGGAAATTATATCCTTTTCAAAATCTCAGCCTGGAGTTTATTCTTAAAGTATTCTTAAGATTTCGCAAATTTCAGCCTCGATATTCTTATAAAATATATTCTTATAGAAAAAAAAGAGTGTATGTATGTACAATTTCTAGACAGCAGCAATGAGCGGTGGACCTATGAGGAATTTTTTGCAGCAGACACTGTTGGGCATTCTTCCAGGGTCAGTAGTTTTCCATAAGGAATCAGTCAGAGAATTGTTACCAGCAGAAACTAATATTATTTTTGGGATGCTTTGCCCACGGCCGGGGATGGCACTGTCTTATTCGGTAGGTGCCGCTGAACAGCGCATGGTTTTCAGGGTCTTGAGTCTAAACTTGGTATACAGTTTCAGTATTGCGTGTCTTTTTGGACCGGAGTTCTTAAAAGTGTTTGGTTGACGTTGAACGGACCCATGATTTTATAAGGCCTCTTTTCTTAGATAGGGTAGCAAAATGAACTTAGGCCTCGGCGGCATACTCGGGGTACTCCCCGGGTACTCCGGATTAAGAGACCGGAGATGATCGAATGGGGGCATACCTCTCCCCAATCTTTCCTTAGGTCCCCCCCCCCCGAAACCATTGAGTCGGGAGGCTAACTGATCTGAACAACGTCAGGCTACAAATGTCACCAGCTGGATGTCCTCTCAAACTGTAAAAAGTGATTAGATGCTTATAATTGCCTGTTGACGGTCTAGTAGGAAGTACTTGAACAAGTATTGGGTGTTTGAAAACTGGCACTTTGGAAGACGGCTGAAAAACAAGTACTGAACTGAATTATCATTCCGTTTTAAAAACATCCACAGCCACAGCCCTCGGAAGAATCCTCCACACCTTGATAACGTTATTTGGAAGGTTCGGAATGTGGTTTAGAAACCCGGTGTTGATGGATGGCGTTTCAGAACATCAAAGTTCGCTGATCTGTAATCACCGCGCCGGCGCCAGCGCAAAACTGAACCCTTTATTATTTTCATGATCCAGGGATGATCTCGTTCAATTCAAGACAAAAGAAGCTGTTTACATTCAAACGAATAAACCCGACGTTTCGCTATGTAGTGATGGTAAAGAACTCAAGTTGTGCGACCCAGTCCTATTGCAAAACAGCTGTTCGGTCTCTAAATCTATCCGGTCAGTCCTGTGAGCATTCTTCTTCCTTTTTATGATAAAAAACTGACACCATCGTTTGAAGAGCGAGGTGATAATCTGTTGTAGGGGAGTCGACAGTGATTGGGACTCGAAGAAAAAAGGAGTAATTTCTCACATAATCCTATATTTCCTGATCACGATGTAAAATTCTTTTTGTAGGTGGATATCCATATATTAGACTTGTGACGTGTGAACACCTGTTAAATTTCATTTGCCATAGCAATTACTGAGTTAGTTGAAAAAAAATGCATAGGATGTTTTTTTTTTAAAAAAATTATGGAATTAAAAGCTGAAAATGTCAATCCCTTTAAAAAGGGCAAGGTTTTAGACAATAGTAGGAAAGATAACTACGTATTGACCCATGAAGAGTAAGTTCTGATTTGCGCACAAAGCAAACATTGTTCAAGGTAATGAATGTTAAAAAAAAAAAAAGGATAGAAAATAGCTCAGAATTTATTTTCCCTGTTGTCGATCAAGCGAGCGAACTAAATCGTTTCTTTAGCCAGTTTAGCTGCTGGTGCAGTAGAATTCTCTCGTTACTAAATGTTTTAATGGTTCAGGTTTAGGCAATTAGCACTTAGAAAAGCGCCCCTTCTAGCCATTTCGTGCGCTTGAAACCAAACCAAGCTTTGTATCCAAAATTAATACATCTTTAAGATACTTAAAGAACACTGATTAACTATGGTGTGCATCTGTCCGTAAAATGTTTTTAAGAACATTAGAAAACAGGGTCAGTTAAAAAGACAAATGAATTTGAATGGCTTAGCAAGACTGGTTGCTATCACTGCTTAACCAGCGATTGAGGAAATATAGTTAGGGTAGAATTTATTAAAAGATCTCTTGACATGCTTTGATTGTAGTGAGGTTTAGCCGGACGGGATTTAAAACTTGAGCTGGAATTTGTCCAAAAAAACACTAAAGCCGACCAAATTCTAATGAGGCATGAAATGTAATATGGTTCTTGTCGTTTGAAACCCGAACAAATTCAGTTCTACTTGAATAATGCACAATGCTTTCGACTGGCGCATGGCCTGGTAAAATAAAAAAACGAATGCGTTGATTTTTCAAGCAAACGGGAGCCGGAATTTTTTTATTAACTTGCTAGACTGAATACAGCTGCTATTGTTTGAAAACAATAGACTATTCAAGGTGCAAAACTAGGAAAACATTTTAAAAAACTGTAACTTAGGAGGGTCTCGTAGGCCCAGCCCACATACACAATAAGTAATGAATAAGATAAAAGTCAGGTTATCAGCGAAGATGTGCGTCGTTCGGAGAGGCACAACGTACCAGTTCAGTTGTAGGCTGAAGAGGAAAAAAGCTGAGAGAGGCATAACTCGGTTGTAAATTCTAAGAGCACAGCTTGCTAGCAAACTCAACTTCCTAGTTACGCCAATGAGGAGCATAACTTTCTAGCAAAATATCGCATACGTGGATTGAATAAATTATCGTGCCATGGCTGGCTGAAGAGAATTGTTTTAAGTTTGTTATCCTTCACATGAAACTAGGTTAAAGGTCGTTCAGATCCTTTTGCTTAAGTTATATAAGTACTGCTTTCTTTCACGCTGACAATAAATTAGCCTTATTCTGTCAGCAAAGTACGCTCAGTTTTGCCGGAAAAGAGCACTTTTGGTGGGAGAAAAATGCATTTAAAAAAGCCAAGGTGCCGGTCCAACTAGTATTGTATTTTAAAATAGCGTTAACCGAAAGAGAATTGGAATCTTGATATTATTTATTGCTCATTTCCAGTTTTTGAAAAGGATCGTGCTGTCTACTTACAATTTACTTTCTCCTCACAAATTGGCTTTTGCTACGCGCGCGACTCCTTCCTTCCAAATTTAGTTGAATTGGAGTTTGGCTTTCCTTTTCCAGTTTGCCAGGACAAATCAACGCAAACGAGGTTATTTACTTTATGAAATCTCGGTACGTGATAAATTAGTTCGTGACGGCGATACGGTCTAGTAAGAATAGCTTGAACGGGTTCCCCAAATTAGGGGCAAGAGGATATTGCTCGGATTTAGGGCACCGTGCTGAAGTCATTAGTTAGAGCACGTGCCTTTCCACCCATACGCAAAATTCTTTTGTAGAGTTGTGAAAAA